TTGCTGCTCATTACATTACAAACCACAGGAGAGGGCAAATTCTTCAGCAGGATAGCACTCCTTCTCAGACTTCAGCCTCCACATCAAAGTTCCTGAAAGCAAAGTAGGTCAAGGTCCAGAATTGGCCATCCCAGTCACCAGATATGAACATTATTAAGCATGTCTGGGGTAATATGAAGGGGGAAGTATTAAAGATGAATCCAAAGAATCCTATTTACTCTAAAAGTCCTGCAAGAACGCTTTCTTTGCCATTTCAGAAGAATTTATTAATAAGTTATTTGAGTCATTGCAGAGATGTGTGGATGCAGTTCTTCAAGCTCATGGAAGTCATACACAATATAAATTCATTTTCCACTGCACCGTAACTTTGTATTCTATACTTCTACATTATTTCTGCGAAGTGACAAGAGTTTTGTCTAAGCAAAGTCAGACCTGACTGTCCTATTTAAATAATTAAAAATTAAGACATGGTCATATTTTATTTTGGTAATCTAGAGGCCTTTGCCTTTCATATAAGCCACTTCTGATACCAAGTGATCTACTAGAAGTCAAGTTATTATTTGTTGTTCCTAATACTTGGATAGGTAAAAAACTTTACTTAGGTAGTGTACACTATGCTTTTTTTTTGCTTACCCTCATGTCAGTTATTACATTATTAATTATGTATTATTATTACATTATCAATAATCAACATTCTCCGCAAACATTTCTGAGCATGATTTTTATGTGAACATTTTTTTTTTTCCGTAACGAAAAGTTACGCATGCTCGTACCTTAGAGCTGTGGTGGTTTGATTCTGCATCAATTCAGAAATGTTCAAAATGCATGGCTATTCTCTCCTGAATGTGTTCTGGGCTTAACTTTTAACAGCAGATGGTTGTGTATGCTTTACAAACAGCCATACTCTATTTGCATCCAATTCCTTACAAATACTAACTGAATTTAAAATAATCTTAATGGTAGGAATGGCTTAAGTGAATTATAGAGTGTTATTAATGAGCTGTGTTCACATTAATCTCATGACATAAAAGCCGATTTACAGTATTCAGCTGAACGCACAAGTTCTCTTCCTCATGAACATTTTAATATAAGGTTAAAAACTAATGCAGAGTACCATCTGCTCATATAATCTAAGCACAGAATCAATTCAAGAAGAATAGCGATGCATTTTGAAAATCTCAGACTTGATGCAGAATCTATTCTTCACATGATTTTTCACACCCGCTCCATCACACTTTTAATATCAGTCATCAGATTGCAATTTTTAATATTTCATGCATTCATTCATTGATTTTTTTGCATTAAATTTGATAGTTCAAGCTTCAAATGAATTAATTAAACTGCTTACTTTTGCCCAACCAATAATTGTAAATTGTATTTATTTAAGACAGCAACACTTTTGTCACCTATTAAAGTACATTGTATATCCCCTGCAGTCTGGTTAAACTGACACTCATAATTCACTTCATCTTATCTGTCCTCACAGCATCACACAAGCCACTGATCTGGTTGATGATATCTTTATAGCTTCCTCTGTGAATATACTGTACCTCATTCCTCAGAGTTGATGATAGGTTATAAAATGAGGCATCCTCGAAGAGTTTACACAAAACATTGAAACTGTAGATCAGGGAAACCCAAAATAATGTTGTAATTCATAAAATTTGTAATTCCCCAACAACCACTTCATTAACAATGTTAAATTGTACACTTTCACTCTACATGGAATTTCAGTCTTTAGTAAAGCACTTATTAAAAGATATTTTCTCAGGATGACATTCCATTTGCTATAATAATCCCTTTGGCTTCTGTCAAAGATTTCTGAGTAGTTTATCAGACATCTGATAAAGTCTTAACTATAAGTCTTAAATGCAGTTTATTTTGCGCTCAACCAGAGTAATTGTATTATAATTGTGTACAGGGTCTTAAAAAGTCTTAAAATGTCTTAAATTTCACAAAAAAAAAAAAAAAAAAAAAAGTTAAGCTTTAAAAAGTCTTAAACTTACTGAAATATTATCTTGTAGGTCTTAAATAATTTAATTGGGTCCTATTTTCCTCTGTCCAAGTAAAGCTACCCTACTGAGCCTACATCCATCCATTTAATAGTTACGTTTTTTTATTGCAAAGAGATACAATTTACAATAGGTGTTTAACATTTTTACAGCAATTTCTCCAAATTAAATTCCCTAATCAGGGAAAAACTAAAAACAATTACACAATTCATCATGATAGTAATAATAGAGCAGCTTATATAATACATATACTTTTTACAATGTTAAACTTGTCAAACTTCTTTTTTTTAAATAGTGTAGTGTTGTTTTTTTTTTTTTTTTTTTTGACACATTAAAATATGTCACTAAGAAATAATTACACTTGTGGGCCCTTAGAAATAATCAGTGTTTAGCACTTTAAAAGTCTAAAATTAAATTTATAATGGTCTTAAAAGGTCTTAGATTTGACTTGAGTAAACCTGCAGAAACGCTGTGTATATTATATTGTATTATTCTCAAATGTTTCTCAGACAGATTAAAATTTCTGTATTTTCATCTTAAAACTTTTCCTTCAATTCATCCTGTGGTGAATCTGTCAACAAATAATATAATTATAAACATTTGTATATAAGGGGCTGTTTAAAACATTGTTGCACTAAACTGTCCACTTGTGTCAGATTCTCAATCACAACTATGAAAAAAATATGTGGTTTTCATTTAGGTTTAACAGTTTACACATTAATATTTGACATCTCTCATCATTTTAGGTTATTTAACATCCAACAGTTTTCATAAGCATGTCTTCTATTAATGCTGTTTAGTCTCACATCCACTGTGTTTCCTTTATGAAGTTTGTGTGTGTGTATGATTTGTAAATATTAAACAAATTTGACCCTTACAAATTAGATATGCAGTTTATGCATATGAAAAATGCACTTTTAAATCAGATCCTCAAGTATAAACTTGATTTAATCTCTTTTTGCACCACATCAGAGCAAGTGTTTCATAACAGACTGGTCATATTATTCATTTATTTTCCCTTATTGTAAAAATTGATTTTGGCAGCCATATAAAGCTGTAATATGACAAAATCGTCCCTGCTGTGGAAGGATTATTATTTCTTCTGAGAGTAAGGGCGCAGTTTGGTTTTTATTGGGTTTCTTTTTCCTTTCTTTAAGGGAAATGGAATATGACAGCTTATAAAACATTCATGGCAAATATTTTATTTTAAATCAAGCTCAGTGGATATTTGTACAGGTGAAAAGTCATTCATGTAAATCCGAAAAGTGCTGTCAGGTTTATTTATGTGAGCTGTGTGAAACCAAGGTGTGAATTTAAGTCTTCCTGCAATTGGTTGAGCCCCATTTGAAATCTTGATTTTCCTTTTCCTCATTTAACATCCGGATTCTAATTGTTCCAGACATATAAGTAAAAGATAATGTTTTTCTCCTGCTGTAAACCAAATGAGAGATGGCAAGGCTGATGTTGATATGCAACCATTAGAAAAATATCATACAGAATTTTTCATAATGATTTATTCAAAATAAACACTTTTACGGACTAAATCAAACCAATGTACAAACTCACAAAAGAAAGAACAACAGATGTGCTGCCATAAGCTGCCATATACATAGAAGTAATATTCACATTAAGTGGGAAACATGAGTGGAAGGCAGTAGAAGTTACTTGTCAGTGCTGAAAACATGATGGAATGTCTATGAAACAGCTTTTGTTTAATTCTGGAAATCCTTTCTTTAATGGCATCACCATATTAGGACATTTTGAGAGATATTTTTTTATTTATTTTATTTTATTTTATTTTATTTTATTTTATTTGGCTTTAACTGGTAAACCGCAGAAGTGCATGAGTTTTTTGCAAGATTTTTTTTTCAGAATTTTCCATTTATGAACCCATAGTGAACTGGCAGGAGGGTTTATCCCATCATCCAGTACACAGACCCCTGTGGAGGTCGAGAGTCAGCATTATGTTTCCTTATAGATTTTGTGCCCGAAGGCTGTGTTTGTAAATGAGGCCTGGTACTTTTAACGGCTCACATTATGAATCTGCCAGCAGTAACTAGCAAATTCCATACGTTAATTTTCTTTGGAGAGGTACAAGGCATTGGTTTGCCCTGCTATTTGTGTGGTTGTTCACATTACACTTCTGTTTTGTCCAGGAATTAAAATTGTAGCTGCATTTTTCGCTATGGATGATGTGATTTTTGGTGTGATGTATTTTTTTATTAATAATTTTGGAACCTCTAAACTTGGTTGTTTCAGCTTAGAAATAAAAATTGTAAATTAAAAATAAAAATCGGTAACACTTTATTTTGATGGTCCATTTGAGTATTAGTAGACCGCCTGCTTTATAGCTGTTGATACTGCTTCTTTAACAGACATCTTACTCACTATAAGAAACTTTGCAATTACATGTCATGTGTCATGTGTTACACTAACCCTAACCCCAACCCTAACCAACAGTAATAGTAACAGTAACTAACAGTCTATTATAATCAAATGAGAATTAGTTGACATGTAGATGTAATGTAACCTAAATTTAACGGACCAACAAAATAAAGTGTGACCTAAAAATCATTTTAAGCATGTTTTTTTGGAGTGTGTTTCAAAAGGCAGATCTTTTTGGAAACTAAATGTATTTATCGTTACAAACTGGGATGTTTTACACACTAAATATTCAGCTATTACTGTTACGATCTGTTTATCTGACTGTTCATAAACAGCTGACAAATTTCTGAAAACAAACCCACTCATAATAAAAGCTGATGCTGAAAATACAAATGTTTAATAAATTTGGCAATACAGTTCATAACTACTTCTAAACACAGAAAGCAATAAGCACTAGAACTATTCACTAGATGGTGGACGTCATTCAGAATTTGATCTTTAGTAAATGTCTCAAGGGGTTATAAAGTGCGCTGGTATATATAGGTAGTCATTACGTCAATTAGTTTGTGTCAAAATCTACCTTGGATGTTTATCTAACACTGATTTTTTTAAAGGTTATCATACCTACAATGCTTTAGATTCAGTTTTCATGATTGAGTAAATTAATTCGCTCGTTCAGAGTTCTCTATATTCGACTTGTTCTTTTTTTCTTTGTTAATTGAGTTCTTTTGAGGCTCGACAGTCTCTGTTTATGACCTGATTCTGCTGAGCGTGAAGCAACAGTGTGTTGTGACGCTGAGTTCTTTACACACGCTCTGATCGGTCAATTAACAAAACAGATGATTTAATGCCTACAAAGCATTGCAAAACTCTCAATCGACCCTTCAAGTGAAGCCAATTGCATTCCCCAAAGTCATTCGAAATACATTAGGGTTTATGTGAGGTCTAAATAGTTCATGTTTGTTTGGCAAAGTAACCCTGCCTTTCCAAAAACACAAAAAACAAGTGACTCTTTTTTTTTTTGTTTCTCTATATATGTTGTATAACTTTAACATGCTGTTACAAATATCTAAATTATGAACTAGTAAAATACATAATGAAAGATAAAATCAATGCCCTTCTTTTTGTGTCAAAGCACTTGCATGCATATGAGTTTTCAGAACTTCATATAATCCTTCTAAAATTAGAGTACACTCCTAAAAATAAAGGTGCCATGGAAATCCGAAAGGGAATGACTTCTCTTGTTTGGTCCCCTAATTATTTTTCCATTGTCTTAAGGACATGTTAATAATGGAAACAAACATTTGGTGAATGAAAATGTTCTATGTATCTTCGTAGAACCGTCAATGCTGATAAAGCACCTTTATTTTTAAGAGTGCATATTTCAGAGTTTTGAACGTTTGCTCCAAAACACCTCTTTGTCCCAATGTTTTTCTGCCTAACCCAAGATAACACGACAAACACGGAGCAAACAGGACTCCAAAAATATCTCTTTACTGATTTTGAGACGATATAAAAAAACATTGTATATACATATCATACGTAAAAAATAAAAAACAACACAGTCATACATATATAATTGCACTTGGCGCTAACAGAGAAGACTACATGGGTGGCGATGGTGGTCTGGTGGTCTTTTCATTTACTGGGACGCATATTTGGCAGGTTAAGTGCTGGGTCAGCAAGCATGCCAGAGGACTATATGGTACATATCTGTGACGGTGGGCTGTCAGATTTCCTTGTCATCTGGCAGACATCTTAGACCTGCTGCTGTTGGGCTTTTTTCATTCTGAAAAGAAAAGATGGAAAATGTTACAGTGAGACAGCAGCGATGCTAATACATTTTAATGACTGTTTATTTTGACGGAAAAGTGTGTAATGACTTGTGAATAGAAGCAGGGCATTTTTTAAATGCAGTGATTAAAGTAGTAAACCCTAATTTAGCATCTGGCAGGGGTAACAGAGATGTCTGTACTTTTTATAGGCAATTTCTAGGAGTAAATGCATGCTGTTCGCTTTAATTGTGATGAAAATGTGATATTTCTTTGTTCACAATGAAAAACTTCTCATTTCAAGTTGAAGTGACTTTCACTTTCAGTTATCAATTTATTATTGTCAAAAATAATGATTGTTTTCAAACTGTTTTTTTAGGGTTGCTGCACAATAAACATGATTTTTGGACAATATAAAAGAAACAAAGACTACGTTTAAAAGAAAGTATAATTTTTTTTACTTATATATTTACTTATATATACTTATATATATACTTATATATACTTATATATTTTTTTACTTATATATATTTACTTATATATATATATATATTGATATGGATATTGAATATATTATGGTATGTATTACACTGTAAAAAATATATAATAATAACAGTTTTGCATATTTTGTGATTCATGTTTTTAATGTATATTTTGCATCTGCATTACGAGACTTTGATTTTTCCTCCAGTGAATTATTAATGTTAAAACATTTAATGACATTTGTGTAGTTTGAAGTGATATATAGTCTGGGTTGATGGTGTAAATTATGATAAAAAAAACTGACAATAAACTGCCTGTACATTTTCTGTTGTTTTACAAACTTTATTCATTCATTCATTTTCTTTCGGCTTAGTACCTTTAATAATCGGGGGTCGCCACAGAGGAATGAACCGCCAACTTATCCAGCATATGTTTTACGCAGTGGATGCCCTTCCAGCTGCAACCCATCTCTGGGAAACATCCATACACACTTATTCACACTCATACACTACAAACACTTTTAGCTTACCCAATTAACCTATAGCGCATGTCTTTGGACTTGTGGGGGAAACTGGAGCACCTGGAGGAAACCCACGCGAACCCGGGTAGAACATGCAAACTTAACACATAATTGCCAACTGACCCAGCAAAGGCTCAAACCATTAACCTTCTTGGTTCTTGCTGTGCTACCCACTGCACCACAGATTTTTTTTCTATTTTTTTCTATTTCTTAGAAAATATTTTGGTAACAACACATTCACATTATTGCTTATTATTACCTACCTGTTATTGACTTTTTAACTATGCATTAGTAGTAATAAATTATGATCTTATTCTGCATCCCTAATTCTACCCAAAAACCTAAACCCAACTTTTACCTTACTAGTAATAAACAGCTAATTGGTGGTTTATTATGCTAATTGTGTTTGTTAATGGTTTGTTAATATCGTGAATTGTGACCTAAACTAAAGTGTTATCAAAATATTTTCTAAAAAACAGAAGAAAAAAAAAGAAAAAAAAATCTGCAAGAAGGTTGATGGTTTGAGCCTTTGCTGGGTCAGTTGGCAATTATGTGTTAAGTTTTTATATTTTTTAGTTTGTATTTCAAACTACTAAAATAAAGTCAATTATTATTTTCAAAAACAAAATCAAAGTTTGACATGGCAGAGATCAAAATAGACTGTTAATAAATAGAACAAAAACTGTGAATTGTGAAATATGGAACCTGTTAAAGAAAAAACTGATATAACTAACTGTATATTGATACATAGACCTAGCATTTATAATTTTACAATTTAGCATTTATAATTTCTTATAAGACTCACATGACTACAATAAGCGGATAAATCTTTTTTTAATCTCATTGACCGGAGGTGTTGCAGATGGCAGCAAGCTCCCTCACTACCTGCAGATGTACAACTTCCTTTCTCCCTTATTGAGCTGAACTAATGACCGCACAGTATGTGCTCATTAACGTCTAGCAGCCATTCAAGAGTGTTCAGCTCCAAGGAGCCAATCGTTCATCTCTAGCTATGAGTGTTTTGTTGTGAAGACCGGACAGTTCACACTTTTCTGGCCCCTAGATAATGATTATTGTTTAGCAGGTTCGAGCGCACCAATAAAGGCTATTGGTTTGCCATAATAAGCTCTTTATATTCGCCCACCTCCCCCAAACTGAACAAGCATCCAATCTAATAGCTGCCAGGGAAAAGAAAGATGATAGCAAGCAATGCCTTGATCTAATATATGATGAAATGTGGGAAAATGTCTTTCTTCTGGTGATTTCAGTACAACAGAAAAGCTTGTTTTGCTTTGTTTGGACGTTCACGATAACAATTAGAGAAGGAACTATTAAGGCAAGGCTGCAAAGCCTGAACATGTTTTTCATTAGCCAGGCAGTAGCTGCTAATCTTGCACATCAACATAAGATAAATATTTCGGAGCACTGTAAGCGGACAGAAACGTTCAAAAGAAATCTGAGAAACCAACCAGGAATGGCTTTTATGAACACGAAACAAGAAATACCAGTGTTTTGATGTGCGGGTGGCTTTTGTCAACAGAAACTAATATGTAAACAATGAGACTTTGATATTTGATGCAAATAATCATTTGATGTTGGAAAAAGTGAGTATGATTTGTTTAAAGTAGATAAAAGTGACTATAAAAGTGCTATATAATGAATCAGACTTTAGCTGCGTTTCCATCACCCTATTTCAATGTGCATTTGACAATATCACATCAGAAACGAGTGATAGAGATGCCAGATTTTGAAAAAAAAATCCCATAAATCAATATGTTTTTTTTCCGCTCACTTCAGGTGTTTTTCAACTTCTTATAAAAAAAAAAAAAAAAGATAAGTTATAGTTATAATATTAGTTTAGTTATAATATTAATATAAGTTATAATATTAGATTCTTTGCCACAAAAAATTTGACGTACTGAATATTAAACCTACTGTACAGTCATTATAGTCAGTATTGGGTGTAAATACAAAGTAACTAGTTGCTTTAATAAGTAACTTTTTTGGTGCAAAAGTAAAGTAAAAGATGACTTTTAGTTTTTTTTTTTTTTTTTTTGTAATTTTGTTACAGATACTTTAAATATTCTTGCCTAAAATACTGTGCATAAATTCAACAGTTCTGTATAAATCAGTTCAGAAAAGCAGAGTAAATTTAAATATATTTATTTTATCTTATACAAATATATTTACAGTTTGGATTTGTCAGAGGATTACACATGCTTAGAAAACAATGAATTGAGCAGGAAATAAATGTCAACATATTGTATGTATAAAATACATTTAAAGAATTAAAAGTGTTTAATTTGTATTCTGCATGCTTTGGGATTTATAAAGATTTAATTAAATTGCTTATTGAGTATTATAAACACATTTAGTTACATTACAAGTTACATTTCAGACAAAGCATCAGAAAGTAATTTAAAAACTATTTAAATGACTTAATTAGTAATGGATATCTCTTTTAAATAACTTATCCAATACTGGTTGTAACTGTTTTATAAGAAAATATAATATAATATTTTTTTTACTTATTATATTTTCTAATTTGGATATGAAATATATTAGGATATGGATTACAGAGTAAGAAATGTGAGTAAATTTCCAGTTTTTAATATGTTGTGATTCATGTTTTTATTATGTTTTGTTTTTTTATTTTTTCATGCTTTTGAAATGTATTATGGGGCCTTGATCTTTCCTCCAACAATTTTCAGTGTTAAAAGGTTCGAGAAAGTTACTTTTATTAACATTTGAATAGTTTGAAGTGATACATTGCCTTGGATGAGGATTCAAAAACCTAGTATTAAACTGCCAGTACTTTTTGTGTTAACTTAAGTCTCTATATATTATTTCTTAGAAAATATATTATTTCAAACTACTGAAATGTAAATGAAGTCACTTTGTTAAACTGCGTAATTGAAGGTCAACATGGCAGAGATCGAGATCTCAATGCAATTCATAACTGTTAATTAATACATTTCAGACAAAACATTAGAAAGTAATTTAAAAACAATTTTAATTATGTAATTAGTAATGAATAACTTTTTTAAAGTAATTTAACCAGAACTGGTTGTAACTAATTTGCAGTCTTGCTTTCTCTATTAGGCTTGCCTTTTATATGTACTGTTGGTTACTATATTACCAATACTACAGTCGCTCTAAAAATTTAATGGAAACAAACCTAATTCATGTTTTTTTTTCTTCTTTTTGCTAATTTTAAATAGATTGGCTTAACGTTAAAATGCATGGGTCTTAAAAAGTCTTAAATTAAAAATTAAGCCTTTAAAAAATTGTGTTGTAGGTCTTAAATCAAGTACATCTAAAGCTATCTAACTGGGCCAACCCCATCCAATCACCACCTCAATAGAACTTTTAACAAATGTTTTATTTATTAGCTTTATTTACAAGTATGATTTAATTATTCTTTTTGGAATAAGATTTGTTTAAAATCTCTCGATGTATTTACAGCTACCCAAGGACATTGACCTGGACAGACTGTTGTGCAACGTGTGTGTGTAGCTTTTTTTTAAACATTGTTAAAAATATGTGGCAAATAAAGTACTCAATTTGAAACAATTTTTATGAGGCAAGTAAAAATCTTGGCTCAATCAGGCCATTACACCAGGCCCAATCTTCCATTGGCTTAAAAAATCCTTTGAAATGAAATTTTGTTCACAAAAAGGTCTTTAAAAAAAGGTCTTTACATTTGACTTAGTAAACCTGCAGAGACCCTGCAAAATAAACTTGCCTATTGTAGATTTTTTCAAGATTTTTTTTTTCTTACTTGTTGATGGCGTTCTTCAGGTACTGCTGAAGCCATTTGGTCTCTGGGTTAATGCACACCTCCTTGTTGTTCTTCAGTTTGGCACTGGAAGGGAGAAGTGTACATTTCCATTATATCCTGTGATCTAATAGCAAGGTGCTGAAATTTTAGCTTTATAGACATTCAAATTGCAGTATAAGCAAGCAATCATCACTAAGTACAAAGCTACAAGGGTCCATTGTGAGCAGATTTTGAATGCAATACAATAGAAACCCCATAGTCAGCACCGGCCATACAATAGCCGAACAGTTGTGCATTCAAGCTCAGCCAAGCAGTTGGTTCTCAGTCACCCCTCTCTCTAGTAAGTGATATTACACTGCGCTCCCTCCCATCAGCCGGAGGATTAATCTTCTGCATCTGCGTTCTCTCTCTTCACTACAGGCCTTAACAGATTGCCAGATTGTTATCTCGCTCGTGCTTGTGGCTCTCAGAGAAGAGATTAGATTATAGGTGTCTTGTCTGCACAGGTGAGACATTTGTTTTCAATTGGCTACAACATGACACAAACAAATCATTAAACTGTTACTTGTGGAAAGTGAAACTGAAGTGTATTTTTAGGATTATATTAATCCTTTTTATAACTTTTTACAAATATAAGATTTGATTACGTGATTAAATGTTAATTCATTATTTAGAAAATTAATTTAGTGAATGTGTACAGATGAAAGCAAAATTATTAGCCCTCTTGTGAAATTGTAGTTTTTTTTATATTGAGTAATGTTTAATAGAGCAAGGAAATTGTCACTGTATTTCCGTTAATATATAAATTTTTTGTAGACGATATTTGTTTCTTCAGTTTGGCTGGAATAAAGCATTTTTTAAACCTAACTTGCTGAGTAAGCTGTTAACCTAATAGTTAAGCCTTTAAATTGCATTTTAAGCTGAATACAAGGGATTCTTCAACCGATCAGCCAGATCGGTATCGGCGGATAGTCACATTTCATGACTCGATCCACATTTCATGACATGGCCGATCTCATGAACTGATCACAATTGTTTATTTATAAGTTTACAAGCAGAGGACATACAATAACTGATTTTTTTTTACATGTCAGAACTGAAAGTTCTGTGTTTTCAACAATATTGAAAGTTCATTAAAACCTGGCTGGAATTATTAGGGAAATAAAAAAATATATAATTTTATATAAAAATATAATATAAAAAATAATAATTTTTAACTTGAATATTTAATAATATAACTTATTGTAATAAACAGTATGTACCTATTTCATTTTAGTAACGAAGTAATGGATTTATAAATGTGCATTTTAACTTCTTATGCAACAAATATGTGCTCTAAACTTCATTAAGACATGTAGAATTTTTCTTCCATCATTTGCAATGTTTCTAAATTGCTTTGTTAGTAATTTTTCTCACCAATGTTTTGCGTCTGTTTTATCTATTGTTTTCTGTAAAGCTGCTTCTGACCCTTACGGGTCCATACTAAATGGTTATAAGAGACATGCATGTTTAGGGAATTGGGACATTTTTAATTTATTCTTAGGTAAGGAGAGATCTCCAGTACCATACTTGGAGGTAAAATGTGCTTTATGCATTATAGCGTGAAGCATCAGAATTTGGTATTGGTTGATGTTCATGACAAGGAATTAGTCGGTATCGGCTGCAAAAATCTTGATCAGATCATTCCTACTCAACACTAGTATAAATAATATAAATATGCAAGATACCTTGTGAAATATCATGTATTGTCATCATGGCAAAGACCAAAGAAATTAGTTATAAGAAATTATTTATTAAAACTGTTATTTGTGTAAAATATGTTGCGAAAAATGCTCCATTAAACAGCATTTGGAAAATATTTGAAAAAAGAATTAAAATTTCTCTAGAGGGCTAATAATTTTGACTGTAGGTGTATAACAAGGTTATTAAAATTGAACAAAAATAAAACATTTTCATAAATGTTTTTTTAAAAATAAAGCTTATTTAAGAATTTTTTTTAGCTATTTTAGCTAGTTTCTCATTTCCATTTAGTTTTAGATTCAATTAATATTACTAAAACTAACAAAATAGCTCAAAAAAATTATACAAATTAATTTAAATGAAACACATTTAAAAAAATAGCAAAAATGCCAAACTTAAAACTAAACTGTCATTTAAGAATATTCAAAAATAAAAGCTAATTCAGGCTTTTAATAAAATCTGTAACGTTTCCTTAATTATCTAAGAATCTTTGGCATATAACAAGAATAATAACACTGTTCATAATAAGAATAAATTAATATAATTGTAATATAAATTTCATCATTAATTCTATTCTATTAATTCATCATTTTCTACTAAAAATTACAGTGTCCGTGATTGTCTGCTGAATTTAACAGCTGTGATTTTTGTCCTTTTTATAATCTTGTAGATGACTTATTCCAAAAGAAGCCACAAAGAAAGTCCCTAAATAAGTTCTGAAAACACCATGGGACGAGAACATTCTTCTGAGACGAGATTATCTCTAAACTCTGTGTCCACCATCATCCCGATATCTGTATCATTTAAAGTAATCACTTCTTATCTTCAATTCGCAGATCTCCTCTAATTTGGTTAGCCGCTCTCTTTTGAAGTAGCTGCGGTTTATCGGGGCCTGGCATTTGTTGCTCTATCTCGATGTAGTCAGCGGGAGTTTGAGAGGGTCCCGGACCGAGAACAGCAGGTAGTAATTACTTCACAGCAAGCCAAGGCCAACAGCAAACACTGGCAGATAGTGTTACCAGCATCAGTCATCGATGCAGATTTGAAGTATCAAGGGCTCTTGAGCTCTGGGACTCAGGGTCTGATCTGCTCTCCAGGGCTTCGCTTTGGCTTTTGTGTCAATCGTTAGTCGTTTTTTGAGGGAGATTTTTGAGTATGACCAGCTGGTTTTATCTGGCTGACCCTTTGACACTGTTGAAGTTTTTGTTTACGCCTTGGTGAGCATTTATGGTATGGAAAATTAGTGAGGTTTGTAATGGAGCTTGACATGGCACTGCCATTAATCTTTGTTAAAAATCCAAATAAAGCAGCTGTTTTGAGTGCTTCACTCAGCAGAGGTGAAAACAGGCAGGGAGGATAGTTCACATCAGCTGAAATAAAATAGCTGCTTGTTAAAAATACTTATTTAAAACTCTTAATTTTTTAACAACTTCTATGTATTATGTTTGATACACTTATATTTTAACAATAAAATAGTAAATTAATCATTTTGTGAAATTATTTTTGTAGTTTTGTTCTGTACTGTAATAAAAATACTGGTCACCTTAAATTTTTAAGCTGAATCGAATGAACCTTATGAGTCCATTGAACTTTTATTATGTTTAACTGATTTAAAACAGCTTGCGTATAGAACTAAGTTAGAACATGATTAACTTAGTTTAACAAGTTACAATGAACTAAAACATGGTTTTATGACTAACTAGTCATATAATTTCCTACAGTGTGGGTTTTGTAATTTTGTACTGTGTTGTGGATGTGTTGTTCTCAGCATGCTTCGCAAGGAATTGCATTAGGAGGGAAAATCTTGTCATTAATTATAATCTTAAAGGGATACACTGTAAAACATGCAGGGTTCCACCCAACCAATTTTAAGTGGATGGAACATAAAACAATTGAGTTGTCCCCCAAAAAACTCAGATAATTGTGTTGATTCAGCTAATTTTAGATAAGTAGTTTGAACAAATAACAAATGTCATTTTTCAGCGTAGATAACTCAAAAATGATAATTAGCTCATCATTTATTCTCCCTCATGAGGTTTTAAACCTTTATATGTTTCTTTCTTCTGTTGAACACAAAAGAAGATACACTGAAAAAAAAATCTGCAAAATTCTTCGGTAAATTTAAACAAACAAATTTAATTTGTTAATGTTCAGCCCAAATAAATTGTTTACAACCTCTTATCATAAAATAAATTGTAAATACAAAGGAATCATCTTTGAATCCCAGCAACTAGCATTTTTCAAAATATTTGGTGTTCAACAGAAGTAAGAAAGTCAAATAGGTTAAAACTATTCACTGTAAAAATTCTTTTTTTTCTTCTTTTTTTCATGTGTTTGAGCAACATGAAGGAATTAAGTTAACTTAATCCTTTTTTACAAATTTAAGTGGATTGAACATAATTTGTCTCTTAAAAACTAATGAATTGTGCTGTTTCAACTCATTTTAAAAAAGTATTTTGAACAAAGAGCAATTATCATTTTTTGTCATTGTTTTTCTTTAACAAATGTAATACGTTAAGTTACGTTACGTTAATACGTTAATTAAGTACATGGGCTTTAGTTGGGATTAGTTGAGTTTACTTTAAAAAGTAAGTATTTCTGTTGCTTTTAAAGTGATTAATTGAGTTTTCTTTAAGACATCATGCAAACCCATTGAGTAAAATTCAGTAATCTATGTGCATGATTCTAAAATTTAGGTCCATTCAGGTTTGCTTACTTTTATTATCTAAAGTGAACTTGTCATTTTTAAGACAAAATGTTTACTATTTTTTAAAAAGGGAAGTAACTAATTGCTTAACTTACCTCATCATTTATTCTACCTCATGACATTTTAAACTTTTATAAGTTTCTTTCTTCTGTTGAACACAAAAGAAGATATTTTGAAGATGCAAATACAATGGGTCCCTAATAGCATATTTTAAAACATCTTCATTTGAGTTCAATAGAAGAAAGAAACTCAAATAGGTTAAAACTATTTCTTTTAACAAATGAAAGTTAGTTCATGGTAAAAAGTTTACTTAAACAAGTGTGTAATCCTGTTGCTTTTAAACTGATTAGTTAAGTTTTCTTTAAAAAATGGGTAAACCTATTGAATAAAATTCAGTGAACTGTGCAGAATTATACAAATTTAACAATGGGTTTGCTTACTTTTTAAGTAAAATGAACTTGTCACTTTTATAACAAACAGTTTCCTATTTTTAAGTGAAGTTTTTAATTGCTTTTTTAAAGTGTATAAAAACTTGTTAGCCTTTATTCTTCAATTAACTGTTCTGAGATCAGTCAGTTTTTTTTTATTTGTCCAGTCCACATTACACATAAGAATTGTATAATAGTTGATCGTTTTACTGAAGAGTTGTTAACTTCTGCAATAGTTAACATTCTGATTGTCCAGATTAAGTGATTAAAATTGATTGATTTAGAAAATAAGCTGTGTTCAAGGTAAGATCAATTAAATAAAAGTGTCGTTTGTTGAAACAATCTCATTGGTTTAAAATGAATCTCACTCATGGATTCTATTTGTCTGAATTAATTAGAAAAGTTGATCATAATTACATAAAGTAACATCAATGCTTCATTTGTGTGTGTGTCTGACTAAGCACAATTCCTTTACATGTGTGAGAAAGAAGAATCTTTTGGACCTCATTTTGCTGGTTTCCTGTACAAAATACAAATGCATCCATGCTTAAAGCTCCTACCCCCTCCCATAGCATTTCTTGGATGTGTGTAATTGTGAGAGCCTGTCCGACAGTATAATGCCAATTCCTGGCCCATTCAGTGTTTGGAGATTGATGGGGTGAGGTGATGCGCTGTTAAGAGCTGCTGAGCGAGAAGGAAAGTGCAGATACTCACATGACTTGGAAGGGGCAGTTGGGTGTGTGGAGGAACTTGAGCTCGCGAATGCTTCTCTGTGGGACTGTGTTGACTGTGGAACGGCACCAGCATCTCTCTACCAGGCTGATGGGCTTGGCTGGAGAAGAATTAAGAGAAACTCAGTTCAGCTGTTTCCTTGATGCTTTTAATTCAGTGCATGTGAACGTTGGATGGAATAATGAGAAGGGCCATAAATACAAATAATCATGTTTAATCACACCACAGATGTGTGCTGTAAAACGGAACAGCATCCTTGACTAAAAATGAAACTTTTGGGTCAAATTTTCGAAATCTATTATGTAATAGATCTGTGCTCCAAACTCACTATTGCAACACTCTTTAATAACAACCAGCACAGTTTTCAGAGAGGCTGAGGCATAGGTCCTCTATGGAAACTGAAACTTCTGACATCAAGATTAGAAGTTATATTATGATAAATTTAGATATTATTGGGGATATCAGTGAGTATTGTATTGTAAAATATATGTATTATATATATATATATATATATATATATATATATATATATATATATATATATATATATATATATATATATATATATATATATGAGACTATTGAAAAATATATATATATATTAAAGGGGCTAATAATTCTGACCTTAAAATGTTTTTAATAAATAAAAACAAATAAATAAAACAAAAAACAAATAAGACTTTCTCCAGAAGAAAATATTATCAGACATACTGTGAATTTTAGCTCTGTTTGGGAAATATTTAAATAAATAAATAAATAAATAAATAAATAAATAAATAAATAAATAAACACAGTTCTATGAGTACACACTTACAAAATAAAGTGGTCCCATTAAGAACCTATTACAGTCTTCTGAATACGCAAGAGGTTGTTTATAGTGGAAAAAGGTTCTTTACAATATTAAAATGTTCTTCACACTGAAAAGTTGTTCAGTTATAAACTGTTCACTGAAAGACTCCTAATGGCATCACTACAGAAATGCCTTTAGGAGTCTTTATTTTTAAAGTAAAAGTGTAGGAAATTGTAGAAAAGTTTATAGAAACTAAAAATATCCCCCAAAATTTAATTACTTAATAATTTTCTTTATAAAAAATCTATACATTAGACAATAATAATCATATAAAAGTAAACAAAGTAAATAGAAATCAGTCAACTTTACATATTAGGCAATTTAAGCCAATAGATTTGTTAAAGATAAGAAGTGAACTTTTTAATCCACATATTTTCGGCATTGCTACAGCAATCGCAACGTGCATGCGCGCATGATTCTTGTAATCATCTTCAATAGCCTTCACATTCTTGCGCATTGAAGAGTGTGAGTTGTGTGGCAGTGCGGGATTATTCTTCCATTTGGCTCAGACCTGTTACACGCTCAAGGAAGCAGAGACTTCTCAGCTCGGCATTGTAAGTGAAGACTGCGATGCGCACGTATGCAAACACTTTAACGGACATTGCCCACTCACAAGAGCCCAGAGGTGTGAAGTACCTGCGACTTTACGGAGCTCGATCCATTCCACTTGTAAAATGCTAATGACATCTCTAGTAATCTCTGCTTTTTGTCATGCAAACGCGCGCGCCATAGTTAGAGCCGCGCGCACTGGCTCGATTGAAGTAAAGACTGGCGCTATCTCTGCGGTTTTGTTTTATCCTCTAATTTGTGGGTAATTAAGAGAAAACAAGGAGGGCGACAAATACACACATTAATCAACGCCGTGACAGTGGCTTCTCGGCTCTCCTGAGCGAATGCGTGTCAGGATGATGCACTGACGATTAAGGAAAGTGCACCCATGAAGGTAAAATTAAAAATGAAAGGATTTTGAATATGATATATAAGGATATAATATTTTAGTGATTCAATAAAAACAAACCAATGATGCGTAAGGTATGCATTACTAATAAATACAGCGATTTTGTTTAATAAATTCGCAACCGCTATTAGCTATATATGTTCTGTTTTTAAACAGATGCACATTTAAGCCGTAAAAAATAATAGGTCTGTTTTGAAGTTTGCACCAATTGCATTGATTGATTTTAATGAGCGGGATTGCAACATCACCATAAAGTGTGCCAAAACGTGCATTAAAGCTTTACGCACAATGCAAAAACAACGTAAACATTTGCATAACATTAACTTACCGTTGGAAATCGGTGCATGAATGGCGACCGCCATCAGAGCGACTACTACGATCACTTTGAGATCCATGTTTGCAGTGTGAAGAAGAGATCCGCACTGTGTAGAATCCAGGAGCAACTGTGACAGCAGCAACTGCGCCTCGGAGTTAAATTTGCGAACAGGCTCCGGTCCAAACACCCCCTCTAGTCCCCCACCTTCAAAAGGAGAAAGTGGGTGTTCCCACGATGATTTGTCAGCTATTGGCACTACAAATATCCTCTATTATTACATTTTTGGCACTAAATAAAAGTGCTAACGTTTATGAAACAGTTATTTTTAATCCACAATTTATTAAATATTGGTGATATTTCATGTTTTGTGATGATTATTGGTAATATAAATGAACCCAAGACATGCACAGGCATTTAAAACTATATTATAAATATCATATAAGCAATGTATGAGAAAAAATATAAGCAAAAGATGCTTATAAATGTCACATATCTATAGTTTTATTGCATCAGTTTAACTAAAAACAAAATTATTATCATGTCCATTTTTTGTGTTATATTTAAAAAGAAAAAAGTTATTACTATACGTTTTTATTAGTCTGTCTGTCAGTCTGGATGGATGGATGGATAAATAGACAGATAGATAGATGTTTATGTTACAACAAATTCAGAAATAGAAAACACAAAGAGTCAAAGAGGGAGACAATGTAAGTAATTTCCATGAAATACATTTCTTAAAATATTTTTAATAACTTACTAGATTACTCACACTGCTGACCTTTGTATTTCAAGTCTTTATTTGTATTCTGCGTTTAGTGTTTCATTACTGTGGATTTCTTTATTTTCGCAAATTTAGCCGCAGAACCCACCAAATTATTCCCAGAGAATCCAGAGGTCTGCATCTGCTTGCCTTTAGTCATGCTAAAATCTCATTCTGTATAGGTCGAAATAACCTAGTTTACATCTATACTGATTCATAATAACTAAATGAATGAACTGCAACCTTCGTTTTAACAAGATAAACAAACAGGCATGCAAAATCTAATTTAAATAAAGAAATAAATAAATCTATTATTGTTCCATCTTCTCCCTAAGAGGAAACAGAGGGAAAGTGAGAAAGAGAGAGCAAACAATTAGCTTTATATTGGGCCAGAAGTTTCCAGCGAGCTTTCCAGTTAAATGTGAGTAGGGTGACGTTGATGTGGAGGAAGAGGGGGTATATTAGTTTGTATAACAGGACACAGATGTGCTCACGATTCTCAGGGATGTAGCTGTGCTGTTCTCGACTCTTGTCCTGTAATGAAGCTTCAGAGGAGAAGGGTTTGTTCTCTTTTAATATGACTGTGAACAGGGTCAAACCTGCTGCTCAGTGGCCCATGAGTGCCAGCGCAGTGAAGGGTTCAACTGTTGGCAAGCATTTAATCTCTCTCACAGTCAATTACGCTTAAGTCAGTCCCTCCAGGATTTTTCTGATTTTGCGATTGCATAAAGTACCACAAAATCAAGCAAAGGCAGCAAAAATCATTCATTTTATCTTGGCATTTTTATTTTGGGCAGCTTTAGATTATTATGATGCACATTCAGCCAAAGTCCACTATACGTGCATTGAATTGATTGCTGAACTTCAAGTGGTTTCAACACTGTAAATAGTCCTGGTCCCACACAATTCCTTCATCTTATCCAAACACAAGACTAATAAGTTAATTTTATAGTTCTTAAAAATGTAAGTGGGTTGAACATAAAACAATTAAGTTGTTCCAAAAACTTTAAGAATTGTGTTGTTTCAGCTTATTTTAAGTAAGCAGTTTAAACAAGCTGTTTATTTTTTAATGAATCATGCATCTGAAACTTCAAGTTAGTGAACTACAGTAAACCTGCATACACTCTCAGTTCATTTTTGTTTTCTGTATTTTTGTTTCTGACAGCACTTCTTAGATTTATTAGAGTTCATATAGATGTTAATCAACAGAAAAATGCTTTTAATGCCTAAATATTATAATTATTTTCCCAGTACTGTGTTGCGGTTGGAAGGGATTCATTTGCTGGAATAGTTGGTGGTTCATTCTGCTGTTGTGACCTCTGAAATAAAGAATAAGCCAAAGGAAAATGAAATATTGAATAATCGAATTAATAGTGATTTCACATGAATGATTTGAATGATTCGTGTTAAGAAAACATGAAGTAACTAAGTTAACTTATTAGTTTTGACAAATTTATGTGGACTTTACATAAAATAATTAGGATGTCTGTTGTTTCAGCTCATTTTATACAAGTAGTTTAGACAAACAGCAAACGTCATTTTGCGTGTGTACGTACAGACTTAAACTTGCTATTTATGACTCAAAACTCATAATTATGTAGGACGTTTCATTTTTTCTTCTATAAAGCTCTGTATTTTAATTGTGGACAAAATGCTGTGCAGTCATGCCATATTTGATAAAAAAAAGTGTAAAAAGTAATAAATTGACTATACTTAAAAAAAATATAAGTAAACACTGCCTTAAAATTATGACAGTAAATGAACAATGCATAATTATAAAAATTAAGTAAAGTGAACCTAATAGTTCTAAGTTGCAACAGAAATACCAACCTGATCTCGGTCATACGAAAATGTACGATTTTAAAAATGAAGTGTGGCACCCAACCCCACCCCTAACCCCAACCGTCATTGGGTGATGATCAAATTTTACTAAATTGTACGAATTAGATCGTACGAATTCATACGAATTAGCCACTAATCCAAAAGGTTACGAATTGCTGTGAGATTGCGTTGGAAATACTGTACTTTTTTTTTTAAAGTAAAATCAACGTGTCACGTTTAAAGCAATGGGTTTACCTGCTTTTTAATGTAATTGCTTTTTAATGTTAATGATTTTGCTATAGTTTTTTTTTGACAAAGTTATGTTGATTTTAGTCATTTAGAGTCATTTATGTTTGAAATATGATAGAGAATTAGTATTTATAGGGTTTAGAGATAAACACTTAAGGTTTTCTCAGTGTTTCCTTTATATTATTTATAGAACCCAGTGGTTCTTTAGGTCAGAAAAGTAATACAAATGTTTGTTGTCTGTGTTTTCACTGTGAGGCAACACAAATTGAAGCAAATATTGCAGTAAATCTTAAGATATGCCACCACAAAATAATTGTCATCTTTTTAGGAGGCAAATATCAGACAAATGTCTCATGAAATCCAGTCGGGACTAGTACTGTAAGTGGTGTGAGAGTTTTTTATGATTTATTCCTCATTGTCTAATTTAAGAAAGTGTGGAAGGGATTTTCGAATTGGAATAAACAATGGAGGGCATTAAAGCTATTATCTGTTTGTCTTTAGTTAGTTACTGTGTGCTTAAGCTATTTTTTAAGTGTCTTTAAAGACTTTGAGTGCTCAGCTTTGCTCTCTTCAAAAGGCCGGAGGTGAATGCAGATGTCATTTTACAAGGTGCCATCGGTGGGAGAGTTCACACTCTACAGTCGCTTTCCCAGTTGGCCAATGGAGAACAAGAGATGGAAGTAGAAAACTCAACACGTTAATTCTGTTTTGTATTTAATTAGCTTGCTGAAATTCACTGGTTTTATTTATTTAATAACTTGCTTCACCTTTTGATCGCCTGTAGGTTATTTTAGCTATATGCATTTATTGCTTAAATCAATCTAAATTGTTTCTTTTATACATGCTGAAACATCCAGAATAAGCATACAATTTGAGATTTTCTGCTTTTAAATGAAATTATACTAATTTATAATATACACATAAATGTAGATTGTTAGACTGTGACCTGGTTTTCTAAAAAAGGTTTGAAAATGAGTGAAAAAAAGGCAAAATATGAATGAACAACCAAAGAAATACATATATGAAAAAAAAAACAAATCTAATTAGTTTAAACTAATTAGTTTAAAATGAAATGACACAGGAAAAAAAAGTATTAAACACATACAGAAAGGGAGGTGTAGAAAGGCAGTGAATGCCCAGACAGCAGCTGAAATTTCAGTATAGTTAAAGTGGTGATAAATAGTAACATGCTTCCCCACTATATATATATAATAAAACATCTGATCACTAATTCTGATCTATTTTTATTGATTAAAATTTTTTTCCTCACAGATGAGAAAAACATAGTATTTTTTAGCAAAACCTTTAATAGTTTATCAAAGTATGCACGACAATATGTATAAATTGTCAAAAAACTATTGTTACACTGAAAAACGGCAGAATAAAATAAAATAAATAAGTGAAACATGAATAACAGAATTGAACATGAATAAAAAAATCTCTACACTTGTTAATTGATTAAATATACAGCAGGGGATAAGGTGACACACACACTCTCTCTCTCTCTCTCTCTCTCTCTCTCTCTCTCTCTCTCTCTCTCACACACACACACAGACACACACACACACACACACACAACACACACTGCCCCAAGTTCATACATATTTTAAGTAAGTCGTCAGAAAAGTTTAAAGCTTTTGTGTGTTTGATTCTATAGTCCAGCCCTGTGTTTTTGAATAACAGCAGATGGATTGGCTTTGCGATGCTAATATTCTGGTTTAGTTTGAACAAAAACAGTATAATATTTTACTCTACAGAGCTCACAAGGAATGGAGATTTGGAACCGAAGTGGAACACCAGAATGAACTCTCAAACTACACTCTTAAAATTTAAGGTTTCAAAAGAAGGTTTAGTAGGGATGTCATCAAGAAGAATTTCCTCAAAGAACCTTTTAGTAAATAATTATGCATTATTTGTTGTGTTAAAAGCACTTTAATCATATAAAGAACCTTTTATGAATGAAAAACATTATATGGATATTCAAGGGTTCTCATGGAACTATGCAATAAAGAAGCTTTCCTTTTAGAAACATTTTTTTTTTAATGTGTTAATTTGACAATTTATTTCTTTAAAAAATAAATCATCTTTAACTACTTTATTTCCCAGACCTTTCCAAAGCTCATGCAGTGGGAATATTCATTGAGTATTTTTGGATTAAAGCTCATTAACCGGTTAGATAATCTTTTGACCATAATGAGGGAAGAGGTGTCGGGACAGCCTCAGATCTTGGCCCGTCTCGGTCACCCCCCACAAGGAGCGTTGGGGGTCTTGCTGAGGAGCACCCCTGAGTTAAGTAAACATGCAGCCAACAGGGG